AAGAACTCGCTCTGAACTACAATTTCGACACGTTTCCCGGGGCCGGATACAGCTTGCTTCTGCGGCACAGAAAGCTGTCGGGGCTTCATCGGCCGGCGAGCGAACTCTGTGCAGCGAAGAATGTGCATAAGCCAGACGGCAACTTTAGAACTGGAGTAGACGCACGTGATATTATTTTCCTTGCACTCGAATGCCCAAAATCAACACTGGAATGCCATTTCTATCCTATACCTTTCACCTGCGTCGCCCCAGTCACCTCCAACTGTGCACTCTATGTTGACCCTTGAGCTGCCTATGTGCCTCCGGATAACCTGAGCGAGTGCCTTCCGGAAGGCCGCGCTGCAAGTCGTTGATTGTGAACCAGTTTCGGGACAGGGTTTTGGGGACGCACCCTCAAATGCAGCTCTGTTTCGCTTCAGGGGACGGTCCGTGAGGGAAAAGCCCAAGGCTCCCTGCGCTAGCGCCTGGATCCTGTAGTGTTCTTCAGGCACCGCCTCAGCTGTCTCAAGCGGAGCATTCGTGGTGGCGGAGTCCCAGTTATTCGCCACGGTGTGTTGGCGGCTTTCGGAATCGAACAGCTGATCTTGCATTCGCAGTAGATTTTCTTCGGGGCTTGCTCCCACACCGGCGTCGCCCATGTTGCCAATGTCCTGCGCATGCCCAGCTTCTTGGCAAGGCTGGGAGAGGCTCCCAGGATACGGGCAGCATGAACAGGACCCAGACTTTGCAGGAGGTGATGACATTGCCTAATTTGGAGTGGTCTAAACCAGAACGAAGGTGGCTGGCTCTCGTAGTGCAAGGCAGGTCTTCTGTGTAGCTATTTAAACGATCTGGGGAAGGTGAAGCTGATGCTCACAGCCTTTTCATGTGCATGTTCGTCTATTATGGCCCGCGAGCGGCAAACTAACGGGGCGTGGACGGCATTAGGGTGTTGGCCGTTGAGCTTAGTAATCCAGGTTTAGCGTTCGCAAACTGATTATAACCAATTTTTAGTCAGCGGACTAATTATGCTGAGACAGGCGCACCCCGCGCCTGCCTCACCCGCCTTATTTGGATTTTTTTTTTACATCGAAACGGGGGGCACTGAACCTGAACTGATGTGTACACATCCACAATATGGTCGACTCTTTGCCGTATTGCCACTTGCTGCTGAGAGCCAGAGACCTTCTGCACCGGAAAGTGGCTTGCCCCTCTTGGCTTGCTGACACCCCCTCTTGGCAGCTACCCCACCCAAAAGAGAGCAAAACCGCTTCTAAATGCAACAGCCAACATTGGCTTGTGCAGCCACATGGTGCGCCGGCATTGCATTCGGACGAACGAAAAAAGGCTAGGCAAGGCCAACTTCGAGATGGCTTTGATATGTTCGTCAACTACTCTTCGGGTGTGTTTTGAGAGGAATCAGCAATCCAGCAAGAATTGGGTGCCATACTTCAGCAAGGCCCCTTTCCGCTGCAACACGATAGGTCTAGTTACGATGGCCACATGCAGGCACAAAAACAAGGTGGGAAACCTGGACTGCGCTCTGCATGTGTTTGCCGAACACGCCTCTAGGGAGTAGCGCATTGCGGACACGGCTATGGGCTTGATCAGGTAGTTTAATTGACGCAGAGAAAAGGTGGAACATTTTGTCGCTTCTAGTGAGCCTATTTAAAGGGCGTGTCTCGTGCCGGCGGATGGAGTCATCTGGTACCCTGTACTAGTTCAGTGACCAAGAGCAAAAATGAGACTGTATAGGCAGAAAAGGTAGCAACGACTCGTTTCGGGATGAAAGACTTTTGGCTGTAAGACGGTAGAATTCTCCTCCCTGCCGAAGGTTGA